GCTGTTATAGGGCTGAATCAGTAAATGAAAGCTCATCTCTCTCTCTTCTTTCAAAAATTAAAGGAAAAATTAAAAAGAAAATTCATACAAAAAATCATGTCTCTCCATTTCTTCTCTCAACAACTCCTAAACCAGAATAGAAAGCCTGCCAGGGTCGCTGCAGGCTCCACCTGGCTCAGCATACACAGCTGCTTCTCTCCTTCCTTTAACTTGGTGGTTTCTCTCATCACCCTAAAATGGCCTCATCAAGCCCCTCTAGGCTGGGGGCTCCCTGATCTGCAGCAGGAATTCCTGGGCCCACAGAGGAACTTTGGTTGTTGAGCCTCTTACTTCCATCTCCAGACCTCCTCAAACTCTGACTTGGCCAGGCAGGGATGACACCATGGCAGCCACAAGTCGTGAGAACAGGAAGGGGAGCACAAAGGGACTGTGAGGAGTCCCTGAGTCAGTGATCCTTTTGAATCTTGAAATACATGGATTCAAAAGGTCAAGGCAAGCCAGCTGTCAAAAATGAGAAAAGCAAGCAAAACCATGACTGCGTGGCACTTTCAAAAAGCTTTTCTTTCTCCCAGACTGAATTCTACATAGTGTCATGCCACTGGAAGTCTGCCGTGGGCCGTATGCATCTCTACCTTCTCTTTCCTCACTCGTGGAAAGAGCCTGAGAGGTTGATTCCTTCTCCCATTCCCAGGATCCCTTTAAGAGCGGCCACTAGCTGGCCCACGAGGCTCCCTAGGTCTGTGACTCCTGCCATTCTGACATCACAGAATGCCATCATGCCATTCTGTGTCCTCTCAGAATCACAGCCTTACTCCTGAGTCATGCTCGGTTTCTCTCTCCTCCTCTGCAAGCCCTGGCTATCTCTGCAATATTCATCAGACTCTTTCTTGTCTTGGACCAGCCTCAGGCTTACCTATTTCTGTATGCTCATTCATCTAACTTGACACTGAGTCCCTCTGCCAACTACCATTGAAGTCATTATGGCTAGGTCTTCAAAGTGACACCTATTTCTTTCTTAGTTAACATTTCCAGTGGAAGCTCATAAGATGGTAGAGTTGGGACAGCAGAGATAGAAATATAATTAATATTGTTCTACAGATAACAATACTAAGACTTAAAAACTCAAGATGATTCTTTGTGGTTACAGTTAGTTTTTAGACTACCATCTCTAAACTACCCATTCCCAGTTTTCAAATCAGACACACCTCTCCATTTGTGCTCATCCACCCAAAACACAGGATACTTAAACACACACACACACACATTCCATCTCCTAACACTTCTCATGATGGGCCCAGCTGGCAACACAACTCTCCAGGAAGCTAAGCCAGGTTCTCAGGCAGTTTGGTTTTTGCTCGCTGCCACAGATGTCAGACTGCCTGCCAGCTGGGGCAGCCTATCAGGACCATTGCTTCAGTCATGGTGCCTCCCCTTTCTGGCCTTGGAATGTATAATCAGTCATCTTTGGCAGTGAATACAACATGCTCTTGTTCAAGTACAAATGATTTTGAAGTGTACATTACTATGTAGAGATAGGTTTATATGTATACACACATATATATATAGCATGTGTATACATATACACAAATACACACATATACTTGAAAACACTCATAGAGGAAAGCATATGGGAGTGGGAGTACAATATTGCTAAAATTAGCAGAAGTAGCTATTTCAGAAACAAAATGTGCCTGGATTTCAATTTTTTTTTATGCAACAACAAAAACTTACCTTTCAAATAATTTTCCTTGAACCTCTAAAGTATCCTGTATCATTAATATTTGTAGATTTCATTCAATATAGAAAACTCATAACATTTATTACATTCTGATACCATCTGTCAGAATTTTACTCTATTCATTTAGTTTAGTAAATTCCTTTCACCAAAAACCAACATGGCTTCTTTTCTAGCCCTGAGGTCCTTTCCTTCTTTTGTGTCATTCCTTCCAAATGTCTATCCATCCTGATTATTCTCAACATAGCCCATCATCTCCATGAGCAGCCATTCCCCTGACAAGGCCCATTTGAAAGCTCGGCTCAGGTATTTCCTGTAGGTACAAGCTATGATTGGGTAAACTGACAAGACCAGATGTGATAAAGCAGTTCAGTTGGAGGAAAATGAGAAAGGGCTATGTAGCAATCAAAGGAGAATGTCAGAGCACCTCACCATAAATGACAGTGGGCAGAGATACTCAAATTGAAGGGGCCGTGCATGGTCAGTTCAGTTTGGTAGGATAACCAGGGCTATCTGTCTGTCACTAACAGGGAAATGTTACATGTTAGCCAAAGCACTGATGTGTAAGAACCACACAAAGGAAAGGGAAGCAACCGTAGGGTTGGGAAAGACTGGAGCATAAAGAATGAGTCCAGTCTGACATAGCTTGGAAAATGGGAGACAGACTCCATCTACACTTGCTTTAAGGGGTTCCGAATCCTAGTTTTTCCATCTGTGGCTTGTCTCCACTGACAGCTGGAAGTGCTATTTTCATTTTGAAATTCAGCTGTTCCTCCACCAGCCTTGACACAATTCAGGCCTGTTCTGAAGCATGACTCACGATGCTCTCCAAAGGCCAAACCATTTCAAGATTCGATTTGATCAGTGGGCAGTTTCCTGGCCTACTGAACATTCCCAAACCAAAATGCAAGATCAGGATCATAGCAATTGGAGAAAGCAGGGATCCCAGTCAACACATTTGGCAAAATACTAGAGATCACATTAGAGGCCTACTACACAAAAAGGAGATTAAAAACCTAATTGCCAATGCTTTCCTTAATCTAAGAGAGTCCGTTGTTTAGATAGCACCATTCCTTGCATGAGCAAGCATGATTAAAATGTTTGTAGTTCCTGGTTTGCTCTAAGGCTGAGCTCTCAGGGTGAGAAACAGGATAAACAAGCTCAATGAGTGTCCTGGGAAACAAAAACATACCTGGACTATTTATGTGCTGCTCAAGAGCTCACGTGATGGAAGCAACTTTGTCACCCACCTCTCCATTTGTGATCATTAAGGAACACATTGCAACCTTGGGCACTAAATAATTGTGATTTTATTAATTTTCACAAAATTACAAAGTTTTGCACCACATAGTAGTTTTTCCAGCCTTCATGAAGAGGGGAATAGATTGATAGGATGTTTATCATTTTAAAACATAACATTAGTTCGAATTATCATGACTAAATATGCTGACCTTGTATGACATGCAGATTATTGCTAAGAACTTGCATATGCTTTAAAATGGCAAAGTACAGAAACATTTGAAAAATGTAATGAAAATGTCTCAAGACATTGTCCTTTCAAATAAAACACAACCAGAAACCAAAATAAATACTAAACTTATTTTAAACACTATAAACCTTAGTAATGCTGATTTATAAATGGTCTAGCCTTACATTTTTGTAAATAAGTTTTGCTGCCTTATGCAAATAAACTGAAAGGTATGTTCTCAAAAAGTTAATTTAACTTTGAAAAACTTCCAAAAATCCTCATGACAATATAATATATTCTCAGAAAAAAAAACTATGCATTCCTTTTGCTATATCACATTTACTGCAGGTTTCAAGAAGATATTTAAAAAAAAACAGTCTAAATGCTATTATTGCATATTTTAATTACAAAAAAATCATAACATCCTACTTACAAGCCAGTATTATCTACACAAATTTCCTTAAGTAAAATTTAGACATGATCATACTAAGAACAAGCCAAGCAAGAAACAAAATATGCAGTACTTTTTATTTATACTTTTTTTTTAGGCTTCATCAACCAAGAAATAGTAAATAACCCTAAGGTACACTTAATTAAAGGATGCAAATGTATGCATGAAGTTTAGCGAGTTTTCGGCCAGAGATATTGCAAGTCTTTGAGGTTTAGAAATATTTCTCATTGTTTCCGGTCTTGGGAACAGGGACTGCTATCAAAAGTTGCTGCTGCTTCAAGTAAGTGTGAACATTTTCAAAGCAAACCAACCAGTCCTCGGGAGTTGTCTTCAGCTCTAATTGCCATCCCAGTATCTTCATTTAAGGTGTTATTTGTTACCAAAGCATGCAGAGGTTGTTTGAAGTCTAGACTGGAAAAGTTCAAGGCTCAAGCCTTTGGATGTAGTACTGTGGGAAACACCAAGTAATTTATGTGCTGGGAAGCTTGTTTTTAAAGAGTATCACCATAACAAAGTTTGATCTATTGTAAAGAACAGAGCTCCCAAAATAACAGCCCCAACCACCCAATGCAGTGACAAAAGTTCCCCATCACTCCTGCCAAGCCGTCGAAGAAAGTTTACATAATGGGCATGCCTGCAATACATTCTCAGCTTAAACACATGGCACAGCCCTTATTGCTAAATTAGTTTAAGAGATCACAGATGTTTCTTAATAAAACCATAATTAGCTTTGCCTCGTGCTGTAAAGGGGTATCACTATATTAACTGGCCACATTGCTTTTGTTTTGCAACGAGAGAACCTAATTGTAAGCTTTTAACTTGGCCACAAGAAACTGGGAAGCTTGGAGCCGCATGGAGTGGTCTCAAAAGCAGCCACAGCAGGGAAAGTGTTGGTAGAAGTGAGGAGGGAGGTGCTGATGAAGACACGCGGCTGTCGTGAGAGATTCAAGAAAAAATTTCCAGATTGAGGGAGAACAATCAGAGCTTTTGTGGGAACAGCAGTCTCCATGGCTGCTCCAGCACATGTGTTTTGCATCAGAAATCACTTGCATCAGCCAAGTGTGCTTTTTGTCAGCCAGCTGTGGTTGGGCCAGGAAGGTGCGTGCACACTGGGGTGCTTCCGGAGGCGTCTCACTGCCCAGCAGGCTTCACAGCTTCTGAGAAACCTCTGGGTCGCTCTCCTGATAAAATTACACAGGCTTGTTTCTCACCAAATCCAGAAGACATAACGACACAGAAACCATTACAAAGTATGTTGGATGATGTCAACAAACAGGTGGGCTTGGCAATTTTATCCAACAGACTTAACCCTTTAAAGTCATTTCACTTGCAACCAAAAGCAGAAATATGTTCAAATATTTATTTTAATAGCATCTTTTGGGACATGTCTAAAGACAAAACAGAAGAAACATGCCCATTACAACAGATTCTTCCCCTGTACGTCTTCAACTGCATCACAAATGACACCACCGGCAGTAGAGCCAGGTCTGCACACCAGGGTACCTTTTAGAGTCTGCCACGGAATAACTGACATACAAGCAAACATTGGAGCCAAACAAATCACTAAACATAGAAAGAAAAGAATTTAATTGAAACACCTTCAAACCAGACAGTTTTCTTAAAATGAGAACTTTAAGACAGTACTGGGTCATACATAACATACCTGAGTCCCTCAGGGCTACCAACATCTCTTAACGTAGAATTCATTCATGAAATGCCAAAATTAAAGAGGCAGAATAAAAATTTAATTTCAATGTAGACTATAATGAAACATAATCAGGCATTAATTTCTTTGTACTCATAAAACTCCATTTTGAGTTTTAAGGAAATGACAGCAATTTTAAGAGATTCTAAACACAGAATGAAAAATCTGTAAAGCAAACCTCATAATGCTTAAATCTTCACAACATATTTATAGCAGGATCCATAATCTTCATTCCTGGTTTTTATTCTTTTTTTTTTTTTAGTGTCACATGAAATTTAATTGTTCTAGAATACTACACATTGAAAGAACACTTTTATAATTACAAGTTGTCACTAATCTTTCCTACAAAAATAGAATTACTTAAAAATTTATATCAATTTGTTTTTATTTTCTATAAATATTTTGATAGAGTTAAGTATCAGAATGCCCAATAGAATCATTTAGATTAACGCATGTAGTCAAAACACTTATTATCGAAAATGTCTAGCAAAAATCTGTCATTTAAAAATGAAAAATTCATCATTTAATAAGTGATATGTACTGTCGTCATTTGTATTTCAGATAAGAAACACAAAACACCAAAGCTCTTGTAAGGATCTGACTTCAAGGAACATGGCAGTTTATAGTGACATTTCTATTTCATGTGTGTTATATAAGGAAATATATGGACTCGGCTTTGGGATACAAATCTCCATGAAGCCAGCCTAAGGGTTGCTGAGTAATAGAATATACTTAATAGTGAGAATGTCAAGGAAAGTCAAAATCAAGCCTTAAATGGAACAGCAACTTCTGGAACTGCTATATGAAGACATTATACCTATGTACTATACTCACTTTGATGTTGGATTTAAATTCTGCGATAAAAACAAGAATGATTTAAAGAGTAAAAAATATGTATTTCAAGGCTTATTTCTTTCTACAGGAATGAATTTTCAAAATAGTGCTATAATATAAAGGCTTTCCTTTTTAAAAAAAAGTTTATTTCTTGCAAAAGAGCAAGAACAAGATAAAATCATTTGCATCTCTGCCCTCTGGAGACAACCAATACATATTTAGGTGCATCTGATGGGGACAGCACTAAATTTAGTATCAATCAATGTAATATTACCTGCTTTCAAGACAAACACTTATACTTTGCATTATTTTAATTAAGTTCATCAAAAATAAATGTAGCATAGGTCAATCAATCTCATTTTATGATTATTGACTAAGATTTTAATTCCCATTTTTAAATGTTCTCAAATTTAACAGGCTTTATCTGCACTGGACAATCAAATCAAATAAAAAAGTCTTTCTCATGTGAGAACTCCTCAAGAAATTAATGGAAAGTGTGGAGTATGAGAAAAACTATGAATGGCTTTCAAAAACTGTTTACGTGAAAATCAGCTGAGATTTTAATTCCATCTATGTAAACTTTCAGTCCCCTCACATTCAGTGAGCTTCCCTTCGTGGTCACACCAAAGCCTGACTGTGAGTCAAGTGGAGGAACTCAATGATAGGTCTTTTGGTTTGGGTTCAAGTATTCACCAGTGACTGATTTAAATTTCTATTTTTCTTAAGGAAGAACAATCAACAAGGTCAAGTATTTGAGAAAAATAAATAAAGGTGATAATAACTTAATATATGAATCTATATTTGGATTGCAGGAACTAAAGTAATTGCACACACACACACACCTGTCAAACCAGAAACACCAGCCATCTACCTTCATGCACTAAGACAATGATTTTGATCACTAGAATACTTAGATTAAATTACCCGGAGGTAATTTAAGAAACACAGGAATTCACAGCACTTGAAGGCTAATCAAGCATGGGTGTAAACTCTGAATAGATAGGAACACTGTTTTGTTTGGTTTGGTATGGTTTAGTAGTTTGGTCTCATCAAGAAGACCTTGATAAATACATACTGCACAAAACTCTGGAACTGATCATGTTGGGTTCTGAACACAGGGGATATTTTGCAAATTGAAATATTTTTCCTAACCAAAAAAAAAAAAACAAAACAAAACAGGGGAAGCACATGGAGACCAGTAGTGTTAAAGCATTTTGCTCAGTGATTCCTCCTTCTACCCTAAATAGTCATACATAAGCATGCAGTTTTAGAAGAAGAAATTCATATCTTACAGAGGTCTATGCAGGGCTTCAGCCTTATCATAAAATAAAAAAAGCAACACTTGAACAAGAAGCTAAAAATAGAAGAAAATGACATTTAAAACCTGAAAATTGCAGAAAATATTTTCTACAGCTAAACTAATGAAATATTCTCAAGTAAAACATTTCATCATTAAAGGATAATTGCATGTTTGAAATGAAAAAAAAAATGGATTATATGTAACAGCCTAAAAAAAAGAACATGTCAACAATTCAGAAATTAAACCTTGTATTGGCATTGACGGTCAGAGTAAGAAAAGACTGCAGCGTAACAGATGTTAAGAGCTATTTGCAGATTCAAGAGAAATTCTTCTTATTCTTTCAGGAAAACTGGTGGCATACATCTTAGGGCACCAAATTCTCTTTCCACTGAGAAAAATATCAGTATAGGTCAAGAGATTTCTGAAAAGATTCACTAGTATATAATCTTTATTGAAACCTTTAAAGTTTTACCCATGCTTATAAAAGGGAGAAAAATGAACCCTAAAATTTAGTTTATCTTTTCTAAAGATACAAAAGAAAAAAAGACACTGAAACCCTGAATAACAATTATAATCAATAAAGAAGCATTGAGAACATGCCAAGAATTAATCCTATCAGCAAAGATAATGCTGGGTGGTAGTGAAAATTGTTTATCTAAGCAAAGGTGCCTTGCAAAGCACACCTTTACTCGAGTTTCCCATTCTGGAGATTATTTCCCGTTTTCTCTTGTCTGATAAGAGAGATGACTTTGACACAGCCTTTTGTAATTTTGATCATCCACATGATATTCATCACATCCAAAATGAGACAAGCAGAGATCCAGATGAACTGTAGTAACGGTCCAAGTCTTCTGTAGGGTTCTGTTCCATACACGGAATACATGTAGCCATACATAGGTGGCATGGTGGCGATACGTACAAAGAAGAACACTAGGGTCATGAGTATTCCATTGATGACATTAGCCTTGGAAAACTTGGGATACTGCAGGACCTCAAAGAACCACCTGAAAAAAAAAAAAATAAAAGAAACATAGTCACATCGCAGTCTAAGGATGAACCATTTTAATTTTGATTCTGTTTTAAAAACCCAGTACATATTCCAGAATTTCCAGGGAGAGGCCAAGGACCTAAAACAGCCAACACAACATACATTGAAAAAGAAGTTTGGAGAACTCACACTCCCTACTTCCAAAGTTTACTATCTATCTCCAGGAATCAAGACACCACAATCCTGGTGAAAAACAGATCACCCAAGATAGCAAGATGGCAGCACAGGGTGAGGCAAGATCTAAACTGATAGAGAAGCATTAGCCAGGAAGAAGCAAGGAGGGCAGATTCCAGGAATAGGAGAGCACAGGTTGACAGCAGAGGGGCATCTGGAGACCTGGAGACACAGGGAAGCAGCGGAGACAACAAAGTGATCTTGCAGTGACCAGGTACTTCAGGAGCAGTCAACAGCTGGTGACTGGCAATCAGAGCTCCACAGCAGCCAAATGGGAATGGAGGAAGGGAAATCCAGGAGCTCAGGAGGTGAACCCAGGCATAGAAAAGCCCGTCCTGCTAATCTGCTTGATCCGACCACGAGTACAGAAAGAGGGGCAGACCCCAAGTTTGAGCAGTATTGGAACAGGGTGGATGCCATGGCCCAAACTCCCACCAGTGCCACATCAAAAGCCATTCTGTGCACTGAGGAAAAGGCTATAGGACTAGAGGGACAACAGCAAATATTTCACACATGGTAAGCTGGGAATAAACTTACTTCTGGCTCAGTACATTGCACTGGTCTCACAGGGAAAACAGTATTGACTTGGAAACCCATGGGTCCCACCCAAAATAGGTTCAGGTGGCCCCCAGCCCTAAAGCCAGTAGGTTCAAGCAAGACCAGATCCTAGTGACTTAGGACAGCAAGAGTCTTCTTAATCCTGGGCACTGTTCAAACTGGGAGTGGGAGAAAGGTTGTGCAGAAAATGGAGTGGCCACAGCATAGAATCATAAGGGCTGGAGAGTGGCAAGCCAGGAGCTGAGGCTATGGAGACCATGGTAGATGCCTAGCACAATAATCCACACCTGAAACTCACTGGAGAGAGTGGCACAAGTGACTGCAAATGAAGAACTTGGTGCCAAATGCAACCAGTAGGATCAACCCGTAGACCTGTGGATGACACAGCTTAGAAAGTTGCCCTAAGGAGAAGAATCTGCTAACCAGAAGTTCAATGACCAGGAGCAAAAGAAGAGACAGAGGCACAATGAATATTACTAATGCCTCAATGCAAAGGAGCAAAAGCCTTTTTCACCCTCAGAGTTAACTAAGTAATACATCCAGGAAATGGGGGGATAAAGAATTTTAAAAACTTGTTATAAAGCCTCTTAACAATAATGAGCAGCAGATACAGGAGTTCAAGGAATTTAAGGAATATGTCACACAGGAAATAACAGCAATGAATCAAATGAAACCTGATATATTAGAAATTAAGAACACAATGGATCAAATTAAAAATTCAGTGGAAAGTCTCCATAATAGAATGATGAAGAATTGGAAGCTATTTCTTGCCACAATGGGAAAACAATCAAAAACCTGGAAATGGAACTGAGTCAAGCAAAAAAAAAAAAAAATCAAGAATTAAGAGACACTTTTAAAAGGCCAGATAAAGGAGGAGTTATGGAAGTTCCAGAAGGTGCAGAAAAAGAAGCTGGGTCTGAAGATGTATTCAATGAAATGATAAATGAAAAGTTCCCTCATCTGGAGAAAGAATTGGGAAACAACATACAAGAGGGGCACAGAACTCCCACAGGGTTCACCAAAAGTTATCTTCACTACGTTTGATAATCAAGTTCTATTCAGTTCAAAATAAGGAAAAGATTCTTAAATATGTATGTGAAAAATTAATTAACATGTAGAGAAATCCAATCAGTCACAGCTGACCTCTCAGAGGAAATCCTAAAGGCCAGAAAAGAATGGAGTGACATTTTCCAGATTTTAAAGTGGAGAAACTGTCAACCCAGAATAGGTTACACAGCAAAGCTCTCCTTTGTCTTTGAAAATGAAATAAAATTCTTCCACAGTAAAGAAAAACTCAGAGAATTTGTCTCTTCCAGACGCTCCCTACAAATGATACTTAAAGATGCTCCCTTGACAGAGAAAAAGAATAGCACCTACCAAAACCAAAGGCAAACATGGAGATCATCACAGTAAAAGGACAATAGAAGACTAAATCAAACAATGAACAACCCATTGCTAAAATAAAGGATCAAATTACTATCTATGCATACTAACCCTGAATGCAAATGACTTAAACACATCAATTGGCACAGATTATCAGACTGGATCAAAAACAAAAATCCATCTATCTGTCACCTGCAGGAGAACATCTCCCCAACAAAGACAGAAACTGAAAGTGAAAGGATAGAAAAAGATATTCCAGGCTAATGGAAAGGAAACATGAGCAGGCATAGCCATTCTTATATCAGATAATATAGACTTTGACATGAAAAACATTAAAAGAGATGAGGAAGGATTCCACATAATGATCGAAGGATCTGTTCAGTAAGAAGAGCTCACCATAATAAATATATACACACCAAACGCCAGGGCACCTAGCTACGTGAAACAAATACTAATGGATTAACTGGAGAAATAGACTCCATTATAACAATACTGGGGGACCCTGATAATCCATTAACATCAATGGACAGATCGAAGAGACAGAAACAGAGCTCACCCAGATACTAGAGCAAATGGACTTAGTTGATATCTAAGAACTTCTCATACTACAGAAGATACCATTTTTTCCCCATTACTACATGGAACTTTGTCCAGAATTGATCATGTTACAGGTCACAAAACAAGCCTCAGCATTAAAAAAAAAACAAACAAACAAAATTATACCATGAAATTTCTCAGATTATCGTAGAGTGAAACCACAGACCAATAAGTCTAAACACCCAGGAAGACATGCAAATATCTGGAGACTGAATTATATGGTAAAAATGAGCAATGAGTTAGAGAGGAAATCAAAGGGGAAATTTAAAAATGTATGAAACAAATGAAGGCATCAATACAATATCAACAGTTAATGATACAATCAGGGCAGTGCTAAGAGGAAAGTTCATCTCCATCAATGCTTATGTTAAGAAATTAGATAAGTACCAGGTAAATGAGTTAATCATACATTTGAAGGAGCTAAAAAAATAGCAAAGCAAATCCCAGTTTGGCAGAAAAAAAATAACCAAAATAAGAGAGGAAATAAACCAAATAGAGACAAAAAGGACAATACATTAAGTCAATGCACCAAACAGCTGGTTCTTTAACAAAAAAAAAAAAAAAAAGATACTGCACTTGCTCAACTAATCAAAAAAAAAAAGGAGGGAGAAGATATGGATCAATAGGTTCAGAAACAAAAAGGGAAATATAACAACAGATACCTAGGACACACATAGAATTATTAGGAACTATCACAAGCAACTATATACCAACAAATCAGAAGACCTAGGAGAAATGGACAGAGTCCTAGACACACACAATTTGACAAAATTGAATCATGAGGCAATTAATAATCTAAATAGACCTGTAACAAGCACTGAGATTGAATCATTAGCAAACTCCTCCCAACAAAGAAGAGCCCTGGATCAGATAGCTTCACTGCAGAATTCTACCAATGTTTAAGAAATTACCCCAATCCTCCACAAGCTATTTCAAACAATAGAAAGGGAGGAAATCCTTCCAAATTATTTCTATGAAGCCTGTATCACCTTAACCAAAGCCAAATAAGAGACACAACAGAAAAGGAGAACTACAGATATCCCTGATGAACATAGATGGAAAGATCATCAACAAAACACTAACCAACAAGATCCAGCAGTATGTCAGGGAGATAATTCACCCGGACCAGGTAGGACTTATCGCTGGTATGCAGGGATGTTTTAACATCTGCAAATCAGTAAATGTGATTCACTACATTGAAAAATTGAAAAATAAAAAGCATATGATCATCTCAGTAAATGCAGAGAAGGCATCTGATAAAATCCAAACACCACTTCATGCTAAAAACCTTAAGCAAGATAGGCACAGAAGAAACATTTTATAATACAATAAAAGTAACATATGGGGCCCGGCACGATAGCGTAATGGTTAAACCTCGCCTTGCACGTACCATGATCCCATATGGGCACCGGTTCTAATCCCGGCAGCCCTGCTTCCCATCCTACTCCCTGCTTGTGGCCTGGGAAAGCAGTCGAGGATGGCCCAAAGCCTTGGGACCCTGTACCCGTGTGGGAGACCCAGAAGAGCTCCTGGCTCCTGGCTTCACATTGGCGAGTACCAGCCGTTGCGGCCACTTGGGAAGTGAACCATCAGATGGAAGATCTTCCTCTCTGTCTCTCCTTCTCTCTGTATATCCGCCTTTCAATAAAAATAAATAAATCCTTTAAAAAGAAGCAATATATGAAGAACCCAATGCCAGCATTATACTAAATGGAGAAAGACTGGAAGTGTTTCCACCAAGAATTGTAAGTAGACAAGGATGTCAACATTCACCACTGCTGTTCAGTACAATATTAGCAGTCCTTGCCTGAGCTATTAAACAAACAAAAAAAATCTAAAGGGATTCAAATCGGAACTGAGGAATTAAAATTACCCCTGTTTATCCATGCTGACATGATTCTCTACCTAGGAGAACCAAAAGATTTAATCAAGAAACTATTGGAATTCACAGGATACAAAATTAATGTACATAAATCTATGGCACTCATACACACAAATAAATCTATGGCTGAGAATGAAATTTGAAGTACAGTCCCTGTGAAATTAGCAGAGTGTGGGCCTGGCGTGGTAGTTCAGTGGCTAAGGTTCTCGCCTTGAACGCACTATGATCCCATATGGATGCAGGTTCTAAACCTTGCTGCCCGACTTCCCATCCTGCTCCTTGCTTGTGGCCTGGGAAAGCAGTTGAGGAAGGCCCAAGGCCTTGGGACTCTGCACCCGCATAGGAGCCCCAAAGAGGCTCTG